TTGTTCCACAACCCACATGGTGAATCTCTGAGGCAAGAAAATCTGCCAATAAGTGCAGGACCCACCAAGATAGAGGAGGAACTTTGTCACAGGGGGTAAAGATTATTTTGCAAGGGTATCCAATTTTTATGAGCATTAAATTTGGAAGAATATTTGTCAGATTACCCTGGAGCTCTTTGCTGGAGAAGCTGCTATTCTTTGAGTGGCTTTTGCACATTCCCATTCTTGGGATGTGCCAACAGTTCAGCTAAGCCAGTGGAACCTTCTAGTAGCAATGCCCAGTATAGCACCCATGCCCTCTCTCCTCCCTTCACTATTCCTCAGTAAAAGAGATGTGGGGCATCAGCCGCCTTAGTTCCTTCCAATCATAGCAGACTGACCAGGAACCTCACCAGACTCCCAACCCAGATTCACCTTTCTAGCTTCATTAGCTGTTAGTTCTTTATTTATTTTTATTTTCTTATTTTTTGACTAAGGTTCTTTGCACCCTGGTGCAGATCCTTGGTTCCAATATGTCAGAAACAAAGACAATGATATCAGGGCTCAAGAGTTGCATCTTTTGCCTTGATTTTCCTACTTCCAGATGCACCTTTGGCCTGCTTGGGGCAAGATCATTGACCTTGTTTTTCCATATGCAGCACCTTCACTCCCAGGGTCAGAAAAGACCATGAGAATTGCCTTCAGGCTATGCAAATGAAGGAGCTATTAACAGGTTCAGCACTGAAATGCAGGGATCTGTAAGTGCTGGGAGACCACCCTCTGCTGCAACCTCCAAAGACCTTAGAGACTAACAAATTTATTTAAGCATAAGCTTTCGTGGGCTACAGCCCACTTCATTGGATGAATGTAGTGGAAAATACAGTAGGAAGATATCTATCTATATCTATATATAGATACACACACACACAACATGAAACAATGGGTGTTGCCATACACACTATAAGGAGAGTGATCAGTTAAGGTGAGCTTTTATCAGCAGGAGAGAAAAAGAACTGTTTGTAGTGGTAATGAAAATGGCCCATTTCCAGCAATTGACAAGGAGATATGAGGAACTGGGGAGAGGGGGAAATAAGCATGGGGAAATAGTTTTACTTTGTGTAATGGCCCATCCACTCCCAGTCTTTATTCAAGCCTAATTTAATGGTGTCCAATTTGCAAATTAATTCCAATTCAGCAGTCTCTCGTTGGAGTCTGTTTTTGAAGTTTTTTTGTTGTAATATTGCGGACTTTTAGGTCTATAATTGAGTGGCCAGGGAGATTGAATTGTTCTCCAACTGGTTTTTGAATGTTATAATTCTTGACATCTGATTTGTGTCCATTTATTCTTTTACGTAGAGACTGTCCGCTTTGGCCAATGTACATGGCAGAGGGGCATTGCTGGCACATGATGGCATATATCACATTGGTAGATGTGCAGGTGAACGAGCCTCTGATAGTGTGGCTGATGTGATTAGGTCCTATGATGGAATCCCCTGAATAGATATGTGGACAGAGTTGGCAACGGGCTTTGTTGCAAGGATAGGTTCCTGGGTTAGTGTTTTTGTTGCATGGTGTGTGGTTTCTGGTGAGTATTTGCTTCAGGTTTGGGGGCTATCTGTAAGTAAGGACTGGCCTGTCTCCTAAGATCTGTGAGAGTGAGGGATCGTTCTTCAGGATAGGTTGTAGATCCTTGATGATGTGCTGCAAAGGTTTTAGTTGGGGGCTGAAGGTGATGGCTAGTGGCGTTCTGTTACTTTCTTTGTTGGGCCTGTTCTGTAGTAGGTGACTTCTGGGTACTCTTCTGGCTCTGTCAATCTGTTTTTTCACTTCACCAGGTGGGTATTGTAGTTGTAAGAACGCTTGATAGAGATCTTGTAGGTGTTTGTCTCTGTCTGAGGGGTTGGAGCAAATGCGATTGTATTGTAGAGCTTGGCTGTAGACAATGGATCGAGTGGTGTGGTCTGGATGAAAGCTGGAGGCAGTAGGCACCACTCGATCCATTGTCTACAGCCAAGCTCTACAATACAATCGCATTTGCTCCAACCCCTCAGACAGAGACAAACACCTACAAGATCTCTATCAAGCGTTCTTACAACTACAATACCCACCTGCTGAAGTGAAAAAACAGATTGACAGAGCCAGAAGAGTACCCAGAAGTCACCTACTACAGGACAGGCCCAACAAAGAAAGTAAGAGAACTCTCCTTATAGTGTGTATGGTAACACCCATTGTTTCATGGTGTGTGTGTGTGTGTGTGTGTGTGTGTATAGATAGATATAGATATATCTTCCTACTGTATTTTCCACTACATGCATCCGATGAAGTGGGCTGTAGCCCACGAAAGCTTATGCTCAAATAAATTTGTTAGTCTCTAAGGTGCCACAAGTACTCCTGTTCTTTTTGCATACTCTGAGAGTAATCATCAGTGGCTCACAGTCAAGCTGGAGGGGTATGTCAAGTGGGGTCCCGCAAGGATCTGGTTCTATTAAGTAACTTCATAAATTATTGGATAATGGTGTAGAGAGTACACTTATGAAGTTTGCGATTCCAACCTTGGAGGGTTTGCAAGTACTTAGAAGGACAGAATTAGAATTCAAAATGATCTTGACAAACTAGAGAATTGGTCTGAAATAAACAGAATGAAATTCAATAAGGACAAATGCAAAATATTGCACTTAAAGCCCTGGCTGGGATGATTTAGTTGGGAATTGGTCCTGCTTTGAGCAGGGGGTTGGACTAGATGACCTCTTGAGGTCCCTTCCAACCCTGATATTCTATGATTTAAGATGGAATAATCAATTGCACAAATACAAAATGGGAAATGATTGCCTAAGAAGGCATACTGTAGAAAAGGACTTGGAGGGTTATAGTGGATCATAAACTAAATATGAGTCAACATTGTAATACAGTTGCAAAAAAGGCAAACATAATTTTAGGATATATTAACAGGATTGCTGAAGGCAAGACAGAAGAAGTCGTTTTTCCACTCTTCTCAGCACTGATAGTCTCAACTGGAGTATTGTGTCCAGTCCTGGGCACCACAGTTTAGGAAAGATGTGGACAACTTGGAGAAAACCCAGAGGAAAGCAACAAAAATGATTAAAGGTCTAAGAACCATGACAAGGAGAGACTGAAAAAATTGGGTTTGTTTAGCCTGGAGAAGAACGGGTGGGGGGGAGTAAAAGGTTGTTATAAAGAGCAGGATGATAAATTGTTCTCCTTATCAACTGAGGACAAGGCAAGAAGTCATGGGCTTAAATTGCCACAAGGGAGATTTAGATTAGACATTAAGAACTTCCAAACTGTATGAGTAGATAAGCATGGAACATATTACCTAGGGAGGTTGTAGAATCTCCATCATGAGAGGTTTTTATGTAAAGGTTAGGCATACACAAACCAGGTATGGTCTAGATAATACTTAGTCCTGCCTCTGTGCAGAGGACTGGATTAGATAACCTACTGAAGTCCATTCTAGTCCTACATTTCTGTGTTTCTGTTCTGATTGCCCCAGACTGGGTGACACAATGTTGGTTCTTGGATCTACTGCAGCTCTCATAAGAGTCTCCCCACAATTCCAGACCTGTTGACCTAGAAGAGAAATCAGATTTTACCATCCAGACTTCGACTCTTGCCACTTGACAGCATGGGTTATAGGACTTTGACAGATCTGGCACCACCCTGTTTGGAGAAGGTACAGAAGAGTCTATTAAACTTCAGGAAGCATTGGACTCGCCTGGGTTATGATCATAAGTAAAAAAGGTTTTCTTTGTGAGCATCCAGCAATAAAATAAACACAGGTTCAGCTGCTGTTCTATCCGTAATGGAGTACTTCATTTTAAATCCTTGGGACTATCCATATTATCAGTAAAAGTACATCTCTCAGTCATCTCATCTCATCACAGCTTAGTGAGGCAAAACTCTGTATTTTGTAATAAAAAGGTTTTTGGAGGGTTTTAAAGTACATCTACCTCTAGTTAGAGAACCCACACCAACACAGGACCTCAGTTTAGTACTTAGTTCATGAAACCTCCCTTTATTGTAGCTATCACTTCCGCTGCAGGCTCTCAAGGCTGATCCTCCCTCCCCCTTAGTCTTTCACAAAGGTCCTCCTTCACACACCCCAAATTTCTCCAAGGTGGTAACAGAATTCCAGTCCTATCCTTGCCAGTATTTTTCCCCAGGCCTCACTCCCCACTTAGGGGAAGCTAATCTACACACATTGGATGTTACAAGAGCATTACCCTGCTGTTTGATTAGGTCTGAGGAGTACAGGAAATTGCCTATACTGTCTCTTATGGGGAAGAGAGTGAAATTCAGGCAGTTACATCCCAATGCCGTTCTAAGTAGGTTAGACTCTACTGATGTGTTATAAACATGCCAGTGCTCCTCTTCCAGAAGTGCGTAGAGTGCACCCAACTGGAGTGAAGGCTGCTTCCATATTAGTGATCTGTAGAGATCCCTCTTGAAGCTCAGTTCAGACCATCACCACACACTGTGCCTTAGATCTGACATCTAGATCAGATCCTCAATTTGGTAAAGAAGTATTAAAATCTCTGTTTAACTAGGCCTTCTCATCTCACTATTTGGAAGGGGGAGTACTGTTTGCCAAACTCCCAAGAGTGGGAGTGTGCGTAGGCCACTGGCAGAAGAAGTGAAGGTTACTCACCTGTAACCAGAGTTCTTTGAGATGGACTCTGCTCATTCATGCTCCCCATCCAGCTTCCCTTGTTCCTTGGAATCCTAGCTATAACTCTGGACCCAAGGAAGGTGGTAGAAGGAATTGAGGGAGATAGAGCACCAGGCCCACTCTTACAGCCTCACGCTCCAAATGTTAGGATCAGGGATCATGAGAGCATTCCAACTGGCACTGTTACTGAAAGGTCTAATCTGCATCATTGGCACATCTCAAGAGTGAATGTTCAGCGGTCACTCAAAGAACTCCAGGGACTAACCTACATTTAGAGGGGATTCTGTTTTTGCTGATCCTGGAATTAAATGCATTTGTTTTAACTCCCTTGCAGATGGCCGCACTTGGGGAAGCCCGTTTAAAGGAGATGGAGGCACTGCGTTCTCTGAGAGCAGCAAATGAAGGGAAGGTGCTATCTAATGAAGATGATGCAGAGATGAAAGTTTGCCTTTGCCAGAAAGAGCCAGCGGCACCAATGATACAATGTGAACTCTGCAGAGCGGTCTTTCATACCAGCTGTGTTTCAGTGCCCAGTATTTTTCAGGGACCTTGTGTTTGGCTCTGTCTTCACTGCCATAGATCAGAAAAGCCACCTTTAGAAAAAATCCTCCCTTTACTGGCTTCCCTGCAGCGTATCCGTGTGAGGCTTCCTGAGGGAGATGCTTTACGGTATATGATAGAGAGAACTGTGAACTGGCAGCACAGAGCACAACAAATGTTATATTCAGGGAATCTAAAACTTATACAAGACAAAATTGGCTCAGGATTATTGTACAATAGATGGCAAGCCACAGCATACCAGTTGCCAGAGACAAACAAGGTGAGATTGAATTTACTTCTAGGAGTGGCTAGGAGTGATCTGAGTTCAGCAAGAGCAGTTTGCCAAATTTCTTTGCATTTTGTAGATTCTACTTGAAACAGATTCATTATATATTCACGCAGTGTCTTCAAAGAGGTATTACCATGGCAGATTATTATTGTATTGCTGGCTAATTCTCAAGTGTTGATCCCTCTACAACTTTGAGGAAATGGGAGTTTTCCTTGTTAGTTGGGGAGTATGTGTGTATTATCCACCATGTTGTCCAGCAACTTGGAATGCTGCATTCCTCCCCTGCTGGAACTGAGAATGCTCCATCCTTCTCAATGACTATCCTTTTGGATTAAGTCTCTGTTGAAGATTTAGTATCCCTATCTATCCTGTTAAAGCACCATTGTGTGTGTGTGTGTGTGTGTGTGTGTGTGCGTGCATGTGGAATGGGGGAGGGGGTGTAGCTGAGGGGGTGTAGAAGATATATATGTTAAGATGAGTAAGGCCTTTAACAACACATGGTGGGGTGACAAGGTGTACGATGGGTTTCATTTTCGTGAAGGAGGGGGACATAGTTTTCAGAAGTGCAGAGTTGCTGTTATTTGGGTGTTAATAATCACAGTAAACATGTTATGGGACCTCTAGAGGAAAGAGTTTCTTCAGCAAAACCAGACTTGATTTTTCTAAGGCAAAAAACAAACCCCAAAATGCTTTAAAAGAAAAGTTTCAGGTCTTTGTGCATCGAAAACAAACCACAAAACCTCCTTTACAGGTCACTTTTAAGGTGTCTATAACTTGAAGTAAATCTCTCGACTGACTGAAATGTCTTACTCCTGTTAGCCCAACCTTGTTCGATATCAAATTTGTCTATTTGGTCACTTTTGACATGCCTAATTATGTTTTTAAGAAATATTCCAGCTGTTTTTGGTAGTCATGTAAATCAGATACTTTTGCCACACTTGGTAACTATATAGACTAAAAAATTAAGCACCCAAGTCCTCATTCAGGTGCCTAAATAAAATTGTCCTACTTGTTACGATTGCTGAGCAACCACAGTTCCCATTGAAGATAACCAGATAACTTACATATTTAAATACATGACTTTAACCACGCAAGTTTGAATATTTTGGCTAATGACTTTAGTGAAAAATGTGGAAGTTTTAGTTTAGTTTGAAAAATTTGCTTAAGAAATAGTCATGAACAATTGGTTTAGGGCCAGATTTTCAAAGGTGTTGAGATGCCTACAGATGCAGTTAGGCATCAAGTGGGGTTTTTAAAAGTGCCTAAATAGATTAGGTGGTCTGAAATGGGCCATCTTGATTATCACTACAAAAGTTTTTTTCTCCTGCTGATAATTGCTCATCTTAATTAATTTGCCCTACCAACTCTAAGAGGCTACTCCCACCTTTTCATGTTCTCTGTATGTGTATATATATCTCCTTACTATATGTTCCATTCTATGCATCCGATGAAGTGGGCTGTAGTCCATGTAGCTCAAATAAATTTGTTAGCCTCTAAGGTGCCACAAGTACTCCTGTTTTTTTTTTTTTTGCAGATACAGACTAACACGGCTGCTACTCTGAAACCCATCTAATTCCCAATGGTTTCCATTGAGATAGGCACCTAATCTGCTTGGGCACCTTTAAAAACCCCATTCGGTGCCTAGCTGCATCTTTAGGCACCTCAGTACCTTTGAAAATCTGGCACTTACTCTGTTCATAGACTCAAAGGCCATTAGTTTCCACCCTGTTATCCCTGTATTGAGTCCACTAAAGCATATCTTCCAGAAAGGCATCCCACCTGGATTTGAAGACATCAAGATGGGAATAGAATGTAGGTCTACTGAGTTCCAAGCCAATGCCCTAGCCACTGTACCACACTATGTCCTCCTATAAAAGAATATTTGTTTACACTGGGGTGTCAGACTTGTTTGGAGGAGAAGGTTGAATTCTAGATTTAATTGAAGTGTGTGGTCTATCCTCAGTTCATAGCAGAAATCCCACTGAGGTCAATGAAAGGTTTGCACAAAGTTCAGGAGAGAAGACGGCCTTTGTTTAGTAGCTATGAGTTCTTCTTTGAGAGATGTCCCTGTGGGTGCTCCACTCCAGGTGTTGGTGCATCCCTGTGCCTTTGCTCGGAGATTTTTGTAACAGAACTCGTACCGGCCACGCATGCGTAGAGCCTGCCCCATTCCCCCTCCCCCCCGAGTCTAGCTTAATAGTGCGCATGCGCGGCCGGTCTCCTCAGTTCCTTCTCTATCGTCCCCGGCCTGAGACGGAGCTCAGCAGACTCGTTAGGAAATTCTTTCTTCTTGTTACAATTACCCTTCTAGTTAGTTAGTTCGTTGTTAGTTATAGTTAGTACCATTTCTATCTTTTAAAATCCCTGTCAGCCGCAGCCGCTTCGGACATGCCTGGCTCCACCGGCTTTAAGCGCTGCTCTAACTGCAAGGAGGCTATCCACCTGTCAGATGGCCACTCACAGTGTATAAAATGTTTGGGGGAGACCCACATTCCCCAAAGATGTGCCCACTGCAGCAAACTTAGCTCCAGGGCATGGAAGGACAGGGAGCTTAGACTGAAACTGCTCCTCCTCCAGAAATCCCTAGGCACAGCTTCAGACCCAGGCACTGATTCTGGCTCTGCTGCCCACCACAGCCCCCACCCCCACCCCGCCTCAAAGAAGCACAAGAAATCTTCAAAAAAAAAGGGAGCCTTTTGTCAGCTTCAAAGGAAACCCTGTGACACAGGATTTCCCCGGGCAGATCTACTGCTTCCCCTGTGCTCCCCCGCTTGAGCACATTTGACAAGCCGTGCTCTTCTGGCACCGCGCGAAATCCACCTGAGGCTGCGCGCGAGGCTCCGGTGCCGAGGCTTCAGGCTTCCAGCTGCCTGCCTCTCTTCTGGCACTGTTCGGCACTGCGGTGGACGCGGTGCTGACATCCCACAACCTTCCTGACCCCCTGCAGGCTGAGATTGCTGCCACGGCACCGACACCCGCTGGGCTGACCGGCAGTGAGCCCAGACTCAAAACACCGGTGCAGAGGAATGTTTCCTCACTGCAGCTTCCTCCTATCCAGCCTTCACCTCACACAGGAGCCTCAGCACTTCAATTTACTCATGCAAGAGATCTGTTTGTGTCACCTATCCTGCAGTCACCCCTGCTGAATGCCTGCTTCTCCCCAATGGCTGAGTCAGGGTCTGAACAGTCTTCCTCCAGGGAGGAGGAAGCTGGACCACAGGGGGATTTTTCACCGTATCAAGACTCCCATCCCCAGACCCCAGTCAACAGAGGTCATAGAAAAATTACCTCATCCTATTCTCAGGATCCTGCCCCCGGGGGGTGAACCCCTGGATGGCACCACCTATCCCCTACCCACCACCATAGCAATATTGGGCACCATGGGCATCGTACCCTCGAGAACACACGTGCTACTCCACCTCAACCAGGCACAACACCGGTCTAGCACCACCACCTGACGAACCTGCCAATGACACAAGACACCAGGCAGCATCGTCACACTTGCAGTGTCAACCAAGTCCTGATCCTATTCCAGTAGAGCCGGAGGTAATGCCTGGGGGGAGGGATAGCTCAGTGGTTTGAGCATTGGCCTGCTAAACCCAGGGTTGTGAGTTCAATCCTTGAGGGGGCCACTTGGGGATCTGGGGCAAAATCAGTACTTGGTCCTGCTAGTGAAGGCAGGGGGCTGGACTCGATGACCTTTCAAGGTCCCTTCCAGTTCTAGGAGATAGGATATCTCCATTAATTTAATTTGAAGAAGCCTTACTTCCCCCTCCTCCAACACTGTCGGATAACTACGCAAAATTCCAAGACCTTTTTAAAAGAGTTGCCAGTGACTTGAGAATTAACTTAGAGGAAGTCCCTGAACAACAGCATGAGTTAACGGACATCCAACAGCCCTCTTCTTTCTCTAGGGTTGCATTACCAATCAACGTAGCCCTTTTAGAACCTGCTAAGTCCATCTGGCAGACTCCAGCTACAAGCCTACCCACCTGTAAACAAGTGGATCACAAGTACTTCATCCCTTCTAAGGGCTCTGAATTCCTTTTTACCCATCCAGCACCAAACTCGTTGGTAGTAGACGCAGTGAACCAAAGGACCAAACAACAGTATTCCCGCTCCACTCTGGCCAACAAGGAAAGTAAATGGTTGGACCTCTTCGGTCGCAAAGTATATGCATCCTCAAGGCTACAATTTCGTATTGCTAATTATACTGCAGTTCTTGCAAAATATGACCACAGAAACTATAATAAATTCATGGACTTTATTGATGACATTCCAGAACAGAAGAAACAACAATTCACAGCTCTGGTTTCCGAGGGACAAATCCTATTACGTACCACTCTTCAAGCGGCCCTCGATATAGCCAATATTGCAGCAAAATGGACTGCCACAGCAGTGTCATGCGCCGAGGTTCATGGCTCTCCTCCTTTTGCTTTCCTCGAGAGGTCCAGAGTACCATTGAAGACCTTCCCTTTGACGGTGACAAACTCTTTGCCTCCACCACAAACGACGTGCTTCATTCAATGAAGGACTCCAGGGCAACCCTCCGGTCCTTAGGTCTCCAGATAACTATGACCAGAAGGCGACAATATAGGTATCAACCTTACCAATGTCCACACTACCCCGCATATACACAACACTTCCATAGATCACAGGAGCAGCAACAACAGCAACACCAGAGACTGAGATTCCAGCGTCGTCATCCCAATTCTGTGGGGGCGCCTCAACCCCCTCCAATTAATAAGTAAATTTGAAGCTTTGGTTGAGGGTTTAGAAAACAGCGTTCCCACTTCAGCCAGTACACCTATTTTTGGACACCGCCTATGACCATTCTCCCATCAAAGGCAGAACATTACCACCGACAAGTGGGTTATAGAGGTCGTTACAATTGGCTACTCCATCTCCTTCCTCTCCTTGCCTCCCACCCATCCACCCGTCCCTCTTCAGGGACCCTTCTCATGAGCAACTACTACTCCAAGAAGTGCAACAAATGGGAGCAATCGAAATTGTGTCCAAACGACACAAAGAGAAGGGTTTCTACTCCCATTATTTCTTAACAGAAAAGAAAACTGGGGGATGGCAACCAATCCTCGACCTCAGATGGCTCAAGAAATTTGTCAAAAAGCAAAAGTTCAAGATGGTTACTCTCACTACCATAATCCCAGCGCTGAAGCAGGGTGATAGGCGTTCTGTAGGTCGAGGGCTGAAAACCAATTTTCATGTGACTATACACCCGGCCCACAGACGCTTTCTATGTTTTACCCTTGGCTCAACACATTTTTAATACGGGGTTCTCCCCTTCGGACTGTCCACGGCCCCCCCGTGTTTTTTCCAAGATCCTAGCTGTAGTCACTGCCTACCTCAGGAAACAAGGGGTCATAATTTTTCCTTACCTCAACGATTGCCTCCTCGAAGCCTCAACGTTTGACGAAGCTCTCTGATTCACGTGACTTACCGTCGATTGTTTCCTATCCCTAGGCATGCAAATAAACAAAAACAAATCCACATTATGCCCCACCCAACATCTGGAGTTCATAGGAGCATACCTCGACTCCCGGACGGGATTGGCATCTCTCCCACCCGACCGCTTCAACTCCATAAGCCTACTGGCCACAAAACTTCACAACAGTCCCCAGGTCACTGCCCAAGACAAATACTAGGTCACATGGCCTCGTGCACCTTTGTAGTCCAAAACACACGACTCTACATGAGGTGCTTCCAAGCGTGGTTGGCCACAGTTTACAGACCGAATGTGTGCACTCTAAACAAAACTCTCTTTATACCCTTCCAAGTCAAAGATTCTCTACTGTGGTGGACAGTTCACTCCAACCTCTGCTCTGGAGTCCCTTTTTTCAGGAGGCGCTATCCCTCCTATTGACTACTGATGCATCTCTGACAGGATCGGGTGCACACATGTCTCACCACACAGTCCAGGGGCTATGGTCTTCAACCGAAACCTCTCTGCACATAAATGTCCTAGAACTTCGAGCCATACGCAATGCGTGCCGTCACTTCCTCCCACTAATCAGGAATCACCATGTACGTATAATGACAGACAACATTGCCTGCATGTTCTATGTAAACAGGCAGGGAGGGGCTCGCTGCCACTCGCTTTGCACAGAGGCTATGAAGCTCTGGAATTGGTGCCTTGCAAACAACATCCGGATATCAGCTGCCTATCTTCCCGGAGTGATGAACACCACAGCGGAAGAACTAAGCAGACGCTTTCCCTGGGATCATGAATGGGAGATAGACGAGAAAACCATTTACAACATATTCCTCATTTGGGGTCATCCAACCATAGACCTTTTTGCAACTGCGAAAAACACAAAATGCCCCGACTTTTGCTCCAGAGTGGGACTGGGCAAACATTCCCTGGGAGACGCATTCATGATTCCATCGGACTGAAACTTAATCTATGCATTTCCCCCGATACCGGTTCTCAACAGGGTCCTGATAAAAATACGAACAGACCCTGCCAAGGTGATCCTGATTGCCCCGTCATGGCCCAGACAACCGTGGTTTCCGTTCCTCAACAGAATGACGATTCGACCACCAATTTCGTTGCCTCTCATCCCGAACCTCCTATCACAGCAAAACAGCCGATTTCTCCACCCCAACCTGTCCATGCTTCACCTCAAAGCCTGGTTCCTACATGGTTCTTCCAAAACGAACTAGATTGCTCTGAACAAGTTCAAAGAGTGCTCCTACATAGCAGAACACAATCTACTCGCACCACCTATCTACGAAAGTGGAAACGATTCACACATCAGTGTTCAGCTAAACAACTTTGTCCCACGTCGGTACCTCTCCCGCTCATACTTGACTACCTTAAGCAATCTGGCCTTTCTTTCAGCTCCATAAGAGTCCATTTAGCTGCTATTACAACCTTTCATGGCAGAATTGATGATACCTCTGTCTTTGCTCATCCGATCACCAAGCGTTTCCTCAAGGGACTCCAAGCCCTATGCCTAGACATTAAACCACCTACCCCTCTGTGGGACCTTTATTTAGTAGTATCCTGCCTTACTCAACAACTATTTGAGCCCCTAGCCACTTTCTCGCTTTTACACCTTTTGATGAAAACAGCATTTTTAGTGGCAATTACCTCCGCCAGACAAGCGGGAGAAATAGCAGCTCTTATGGCAGATCCACCATATACGCTATTTTTCAAGGACAAGGTTACCCTTAGATTACAGCCCAAATTTCTTCCAAAGGTGCATTCCTCCTTCCACATTAATGAGCCGATACACCTACCGACCTTCTTTCCGAAACCATATGCGAACTCGTTCGAAGCCACGATGCATACATTAGATGTACGCAGGGCCTTGTCCTTCTATTTGAATAGAACCAAACCTTTTAGAAACTCTTCTAGACTCTTTGTCTCCATCGCGGAGCGTTCCAAAGGGATTCCTATTTCTACCCAGCGACTTTCAAACTGGATTTCTCAGTGCATCCGATTGTGCTATCAGATGAAGAAGGTTACACCTCCAGCCGGCATCAGAACTCACTCCACTACATCTCTGGCTGCCTCTGTGGCTTTCTTACGCAAAGTTCCCCTAGCTGACATCTGTAAAGCAGCCACTTGGACCTCTGAACTCACATTTGTTAAACACTATGCCCTTACTCAGGGCCCTCTCTCTGATACACGATTGGGCAGAGCTGTACTATCTACGGCATTCCTATCAGATCCGAAGTCCCTACCTCCTTGAGACACACTGCTTTTAAGTCACCTGGAGTGGAGCACCCACAGGGACATCTCTCAAAGAAGAAGAGGAGGTTACTCACCCTGTGCAGTAACTGATGTTCTTCAAGATGAGTGTCCCTGTGGGTGCTCCACTACCCACACTCCTCCTCTCTACTTCGGAGTTGGGGTAGCCTCCGTTGTAGAGAAGGAACTGAGGAGACCGGCCGCGCATGCGCACTATTAAGATAGACTCAGAGCGGGGGGGCAGGCTCTATGCATGCGAGTCCAGTACGAGTACTGCTACAACAATCTCCGAGCAAAGGCGCAGGGATGCACCAACACCTGGACTGGAGCACCCACAGGGACACTCATCTCGAAGAACGTCTGTTACTACACAGGGTGAGTAACCTCCTCCTCTTTCCTAATCTGTTCATTTTGGTGCATGTTAACCTACACTTTAAACTGACCTTGCAATTAATCCTATGACTAGTACAGAATCTCAGTGCAAGAATTCCCTTCTCATTTTTAAGAAGCGAAGGAAATTAGCTATAAAAGTTACATTAATGCAGCATTGGGACTGAGATTTTACAGACACCAAAATCAAGAAAGTCTGTTATTCCCAGGTGACCATAACTTGGCTCCACTGTACATGCCCGCACTTCTCCATTAGAGATCATATAAAGTGGTAGAAGAAGCTAGATCAATGCAGTGGGGCCAGTTTACATGGTCTCTGTGGAATCCATAATTCACAGCTTTTCATATAAAAACTCCAGCCATAACATTGCTTTTAATAAATTTCCAGGTTTAAGGTGAAGGAGGATACAAGGAATTTGATAGAATTAATGAGTTGCAATACTAAAAGTTAAAAACACTTCAAATAGAAATGAGTGTTTGTTTTGTTGCAGTATCTGACCCATTTAACTCAAAATTTGTTATACAAAACGGTGTGTTTAATAAATGTTTCTCTTCCCTTAGGTATCTCAGACAATTGATGCAATGTCTTTTTCTCTGCCTCATGACTGGGATAACAGAACCATGTATTTACATTCTCCCTTTTCTTCAAGACAGAACTGCATTCCCTTTCATGGTTTGTTATGCTTCACTTACATTTTTCAGTGTATGACTGCATTCCCTTTCATGGTTTGTTATGCTTCACTTACATTTTTCAGTGTATGACTGGGAGACCTGAAGCATAAAAATGGGGGCCCTGCCTTGTTCTCTGGTCCTTGCTTTTGAGTCATGGAGAGTAGAGGGATTTGTTCATAAAGTCAGTTTGGGCTGAACCACAAGCTGGGAAGCCAGATGAATGGGCTTAATCTTTCTACGGCAGGCCTCATAGTATAGGAGCATGTTAATTCCCTGGGCAAGTTAATGATAGAAAGGTAAGGGATGTGTCATTTTATTGATAAATAACTACAGAATCATAATTTCAATGATGTAATTTTCTGCGGCATGACAGGGGGGGTCTCGCTGCCATCCCCTGGCTCCAAACTCCACGTCCTACAATTGGTCGAAATTTTGATAATACAATGTTTTCAGAAATGGCTTGAGTTGGGTGAGCTCTTTCTCACATCAATACAGTGGTACCAGACATGACAAACCTATAACAATTAAGTAGATAGATATTCAAAAAATGTTCAAAAATCAATTTTTTAAATTGTAATTTAACACAGGCTTGTCAAACGTATAGCTCTCACAAAGTGGCCCTCAACTGACAGTACTGTGATGTCAGTTAATGCACAGCACATACCTGACTAATATTTTGTAATGTTCCCGATTACCATAAATAGGAGTGCTTCAAATTGATTCGCCATCATCCGCAAAAAAGAAGCGGGTTAGTGGTATTGATTGTCAACTTTGTTTTTCATTTCAAAAGAGTTGTAGTGAGGCAATGGTTAGGACGTCAGCATCCAGCCAGAAATTATGGAATCCATCTGCAAATGGTATGCGCATCGTTACCTAACATACATGACATAATTAATTACAATCCCAAAGTAATTTATTACAAAATCCTTGTTTTTACTGTGGTCTTGATAGTTTTAGACATCAATGGGGAAATGAAGCATACTGACTAGTAGCTGAATCTTTGGACAATACCACCGCGGAGGACCTGGTTAAACACAACGTTTAGTGGCATCTTACATGCTATAAGACATGCACCCATAAAGGTTGGAAAGGAAGTACATCAAGCATCAGGAAAAAGTTGAAGATGCTGGGACAAGTGCCCGCTGTGAGCAAGGTTCACCTTATACTAGGCCCCCCTGGCATGTGTTTCAAAAAGAACATCTGTTTCTTCTGTGGGAAGCCAGAAGGAACCCATTAAGCACTGTTTCAACACATGAGATGGGTGAGAAACTGTATGAAGCAGTCAAATTTTGGTGAGAATGTTGCATGGAAAATAAAGGTAAGTGGTGCATTGACACAAAAGATAGCCCCGCATATGACATTGTGTATCACATTGAGTGTCACACCAAGAATGTATGTAAAACATACTTATTTTTCTACTGCAAACTGTGGGACTCAGCTGGAATTGATAAATTGCCACGTAGGTGCTTTGAATGGGATTGAAGAGGAACAAATGTTTAACAGAAAGGCTCTTAAAGCATTTATTGAAGATGAACTATGGGATGTGGACACAGTTTTAGCAATCCTGTCTGCGGAAATGAAACACAGCGCATATCCTTAAAAGATCCAAAAAATGTGTCACTATCAGAAGTGGCACTATCAAAAGCAAATGCATGTCTTGCATGGCCTTTCTAAGCCAGCACTTACTAACAATGTGACTGGTACCTTATTGCAGCAGAGGCCTTTCTTCATAGCAATTAGAGTATGGCTGAGGTACAAGCTCTCAACAAACCGTTAACACCTGCCAAGACTTGGCTGAACACTTCATTATGAAGACACAGAGGAAATACTGAACCTATGACAAAGTCCCCTCCTGTTTGAAATGAATGTAGAGGAATTAATTAAAAAATTACCGGAAAGAAGAGACTTCATGGTATTGCACCTCTTCAGTACAAAATAATTGACTCCACGAACATCTCCAATGTCACAATGAAGAAGTTACTGTCACATATTCTCATGAAGGACAGGTTAACCCTATACTTTACAGGAAAAACGCTCCAGCATGCGAAAAATTGCTCGAAGAATTTTGTCATTTCATGGTGTAATGAAGCTACTTCCTCACGCTATTCAGTGGAGTTCCTTCATAGTTCCCATCGGGAGGCTGTCATTAAACTTATGTTGCATGCCATCAGTATCGCAGAGAGAGGTGCTACTGAACTCCAGATTTTTGTACAAGACACACATGTTCTAGTGCCCTATGTGAGGCACTACCTTAGACTTCCACAAGATTGTTTTTTGTGCTTGCTGTTGGGGAATAGAATTGCTGTATGTCCTTTAGAGATGTGTTCCTATTACTCGGACTATTAAAAGTCACTGCACTCCCAGGCTTCCACGCCCTCTCAGGATGTGGCACTACTGGAAGGTTGACTGGAAAGACCAAATTATCTTAGCAGACAGTATTTGATTCAGCCTACAAAGATACTCTGTTTGCTCTGAAGGTGCTTGGAATGGCTGAGACAGTCACTTATGAGGTCATAAATGCACTGGAGGCATTCATATGCCTGGCTTACAATTTGAAGACCAGCATTATGACACTTGCAGAGCTATGTTGGTGGATGTTTTCCAAGAAGCAGACAAACTGAGAAAAATTGCCACTAAGATGGGGTGCAGTTATACCTGCTATTAAGAGGGCAAATTGTCAAGCAATGGAATGGCTCTGGGATGATTTAGTGCATCCAAAGCTACCCTTCCCAACTGGGCATGTATGGGACTTGGAGGATGGACTGATCATATCAATTATGTGTGAAATACGATGCACTTCTAAATCAATCTTTCAGCTAATCAACTGCTTGTGCAAAGACCAAATGATAACCACACTGCAAATGTTAGGCCAGCAACCTGCCTTGTATAGAGATATGCAAGAGCAGCATGGATGAGGATCAGTATGATAACGTGTTTATCAGTGGTTCCCTAGACCGAGATGACTTTGAGTAAATGTTTTTAGTCCTACATGACCAGGCTGACTTCCCTAGGTTTACCAAAAGTCAATGTGTCTCTTTTGTTATGTAAGCAATGCATCCCTGTTTTAAAACATAATTTTAAAAAGTTGATTTCTAAATATTTTCTCTCATATGTATCTACATAATTGTTCTAGGTTTGTCATGTTTGGTACCAGTAGACCATGGAAGAAAGGTCTTTCGAATGATACCCAACTTGACCCATTTCCAACAACATTGTATTATCAAAAATTCCATCAATCGGAGGGCCTGGAGTTGGGAGCCAGGAAGGCAGTGAGTGCCTGCAGCCATGCTGCAGAGGGTGACACCATTGAAATGGCACTTCTGTAGATTTTTACTAATCAAATGACACATCCACTATCGTACTGATCTGTTGCCTAGCATAGATGATCTAACGTGGACCAAACCAGTACAAATGGCATCTTTCCACCTGTCTCCAAAAGCCACCCTTGTTGCTTCCTGCCTTTCACTCCAGACATTTGCTGCTTCAGATGCCAAGGTCTGGCCTTATATTTAGTTTTTACTTTTGTGTGCTGTTAATATGAACTTAACTGTAGTGATAGTTGTACGTTTATTTACGTATTCCAATTTAGAACAGTCTTTTGAGAATGCTATGGTGTAAATTTAAACAAAGAGATGCTCTAAAACTCCACAGTCAGTTATGGATTCAGTACACATTTCATTTGCACAGAGTCCTTGTACAAAAATGTTCATGTGTTTACATAAGAATTTTGAGTTATGCCTTAAACTGCTTTAAAAGCTCAATGGAAAAGATGGGTGTATTAAAGCTGAACAGTAATTATACAGTGAGAAACAGTTTTAGGTATCAGCCTTTAGTTTCAGTTAGAGATTTACAAAAGTATTGTATTAGTAACTTCCCACGCCCATCCTTGGCTTTACTGTGGATTCTCTCCATGGTTTTGTATCTGATTCACCTTTTTCTTTTGTGATTCTGAAAATCTTTCTCCTTTGATTCAAAGGACCATTATTTAACTCACTCTCTCATGTTGCTTCAAATTGGTGAGAAGCAGCTAAGACAGATGCCTGTCCCTCAGCCTATCAGCTGAGATAGAAATAATAACCCAGACACTGAATAAGTCATTTTTATGATGGTGACCCAGAGAGTTTGACGGGGCTATTCCCGGTAAAAGTCTCCACCACCATATGACTGCCCACAAGTTACTGCACAGGCCTTTATCTTTTCTTCAGTTACATTGTTGTAATTAGAGATGAAAAGTGAAGTATCTGACCAGATTTATTAGAGATGTTTTGCACAAAGACTGTTAGTTAAGCATAAAAAATCTTCCCCAAATTTTCCTTTTTATTGATTTATGTATTATTGGCAGTAGCAGATTTGCCATGGTGCCGGGCCCACACTCCAGGGGGCCCCGGCCAGGCCCACTCTTCGCGCCCCCCCCCTTGCAGGGGGCAGAAGCTTGGTGTTGCTGGCACTGAGGCTCCTACTGTAGTAGGACAGCCAAGCTCCCCCTCCCCTGCCTTTTCTCACAGCTTGCTGCGTTCCCGCCCTCCCCCTCCCTGCCACCCATCAGCTGATTGCCGGCAGGAGGGAGGGGGAAGAGTGGAGCCGCAGCATGCTCGCCACTGGGGAGAGGAGGCAGAGAAGGGGCAAGGCTTTGAGGAAGGGGGTGGAATGAGCATACCTATTCTGTGAACGCAGAGCTGCGTAGCCAGGCTGAAAAAAGAAGGTGCTGCTCAGCTCCCTGGACTTTGCAGCTGGACACCGCCTTCTGGGTCCTAGTGCTGGTTGAGCTTCCTTCTGTGTGCTGGGAGCCATCCTTCATTTTGTACAATAGTGAGTGCCCACAGTTGGACAGAGGCAGTGGGGAAGGAAGGTGCATGGGATGGGGAAGAGAAGGGGATAGGGCAGGGATCGACAACCTTCGGCCCACAGCCCGCCAGGGTAAGCCCCCTGGCGGGCCGGGCCAGTTTGTTTACCTGCTGCATCCACAGGTTCGGCCGACCGCGGGTCCCACTGGCCGCGGTTCGCCATTCCAGGCCAATGGGGGGCTGCAGGAAGCAGCGTGGGCTGAGGGATGTGCTGGTTGCGGCTTCTTGCAGCCCCCATTGGCCTGGAGTGGCGAACCACAGCCAGTGGGAGCTGCGATCAGCCAAACCTGCGGACGCAGCAAGTAAACCAACCGGCCTGGCCCACCAGGGGGCTTACCCTGGGCGGGCCGCGGGCCGAAGGTTACCAATCCCTGGGATGGGGAAGCGGGTGCCCAGCATGTGGATCCCCTTGGTAGCAGCTGGGGCTCCCCTGTTAAGCAGTCCCATCAAACCCTGACCCTGACAAGCTCCACCTCCCCTGCATCTGTACCACCCCGATGAGCCCCCCCGACACCCTCCCCACTGAGCCCCAACCACCTACACCCCCACCCAAATGAACCCCACCTCCCCTGCACCCAGACTCCACCCCCACCCCCGCTGAGCTCCAACCACTTTCACTTGGTTCCCCCGCAGACTCCCATTGCCCCTGCACCTGGCACCTCCCTGTGCATCCAGATCCCCCACTGAGCTGCCTGCACCTAGACTGCCCCCCAGAGAACCCTCTTACCCCTATCTGGATACCCCCACACTAAGTTCCTCTGCACTTGGATCCTGCTGCCGGGCTGAACCTCCCTGCCCACATCTGGTGTGCCTGGGGCAAAAGGGGCAGGGTCCCAGGGTGTTTCTGTGGTAGGCATGGCCCTTGTTCTGTGGCAGGGTCAGGTTCAGCCTCACTGCCAAGTCCCTGTCCCAGGGGGCTGGGGGAGGCTGCAGGGTATTCTCCCACCTCCATGCAGCTAGTGGCCTGTGCTCCTCACTGCCATGGTGGAGCTCCCACATTTATTTATTGTAAAAAAAATAAAAATAAAAAAAAAATCAGAATTTTAAAATATTATGCACAGAATTTGATGCAGAATTCTCTCAGGAATATGGGGCACTGTACAACTGTGATGGTGGGACTGTGAAGCGGGTGCTGGACAGTAGGGGAGCGGTGTGCCGGGTGCTGTGCAGATGTGGTTGGAGGTCAGCGGGAAGGTTCTCTAGGCAGGGGGTGCTGGGCAAGGGATCTGTGGAGGAAGTCTCTGGGTGAGGGGGCACTGGCATAAGGGCAGGGCACTGGGCAGGGGGCAGTGTGGAAGGGGCACGCTGGTAGCACAGGGCTGGGCAGGCCAGTGTGCATCTAGCAGTTTTGGGTTTGTAAACAGTGCCCTTGTGTTGGGCTGTGTGGGGCCACTCCTGCCGCACTGCGCCTCATTGCCCCCAACTGGCCCCTCGCTCTGTGGACGGCCCCCCATCACATGCCCTATTTCCCCAACGGGGGCCCACAAATATGTTTGGCGCTGAGCCTAGAAAAAGTTAATCTGGCCCTGACTATTGGGAAAGAATTTTCTAAACCTCTGTATTTATCACAAGCCTTGACATTAGAAAATTAAAATTTTTGTTTTGTTGTTGTAGCCATTAGCGCAGAGCTGGATGAGCTGCTGATGGAGGCCCATTTGCTACAGGTTTCACTGCCTGAAATACAAGAGCTCTACCAGATCTTACTCACAAAGCACAGCCCTGTTCTGCAAACAGAACAGAGGTCAGCAATAGGACCAACAAGTGAAAAGGCAGGTATCTGACAACACCACAGATCCCTCTGTTTGGGGCCCTTCCCAAGCAGAGAGGTTCTGACTGGACTCCGTAAACTTCAAAAGTGTGTGTGTGTGTGTGTATGTGTGTCTTCGGGAGGGATTGGGAACTTTGTGCAACTCTCTCTGCAGGTTTCTCTGTCTGTGAATATAATTTGTGTTGCATTTCTGCATCCTGAAACTGCATTTGCTGGTCATTTATATGACTTAATTATGGCCATTCTGATTCTAATAGTAACCAGATACTAATGAGTCCAGTGGGGAAGAAGAGGCTTTTCCTTGGAAACTGGAAACTTGTAAAGCTGCTTTGGAGGAGAGAAAGAAAGGAGGGAGTCACTCATTCATTCCAACTCTTGCTTTGACCCAATATTCAGCCCTTAAGAATAGCTACAGAGTGAGTGTGTTTAGTGTGCCATAGAGGGCGGCCCTCCTTTCAGTGTAGCAATGGATGGGTGATATGTTGGAGGGGAAGATAGATCACTGAATAACGGATTAGAGTCCTTAGGGTTTTGCTTCAATATCCTTCCCACTAGAACGAGTGCTGCCGGGGGAAGAAAGATGGAGTTGGTTCTGTGGAGAGAAAATTAAAGAGGCGCTTTGAAAGAGAGGGCTTCTGTGGTGAGAAGAGAGCAAGAGTAAAAAAACTGAGAACACCCAAAAAGAAGAAATTGAAACTGAATCCCTCCAAGGATCTCAGCAATAGCAAACTGGAGAGAGAGCGAGAACGGCTTTTTGAGGCGCAGCACTCCAGCGAAAGCCACTTGCTTCCCTTGGATATGTCGTTCTCTGAGCAGGAGGACTCGGAGGATGAAGATGCAATCTGCCCTGCGGTGAACTGCCTGCAGCCTGAAGGAGATGAGGTCAGTGAATGGGAAGCCTGCTGTGGGGCACTGAATGCAGGGAGCAGGTGATATCAGAACTGCTCCCTAATCCTTTTGTTAGACCAACATTATCGACAAAGAGAGAGAGAGAGCTATTTCAGACACTGGGCACCTGGAAAACCTGAGGAGCTCATCCTTGCCTTTAGTCTCTTCCCTACAGGAACTTTTCTTTGAGTACCTGGCAACTATTGGAACCACTTAGAGTAGAATCACATTTTCATAGGAACTTCTCCCAGTGTCTCCAGTAACTCACTTTTCAGGTAGACAGAAGTAGCTCTAAAAGGGCCATTTGGCAACTGGCTGCTGCTTGCTGCATCTCCTATTAAGCTTGGAGGGAGATCCTTACAATTCCAGATTTCTTACAATCCTACTGTGTTTCTTTGATAGAAAAGTTACTACTGTTTCTCCTTAAAGGCTGCTTGAAAGACTGTTTTTAAAAATCTTAGGTTGTGTCTACACACACAGTTTCCACCAGCTAAATCAGTTTCTCAACTGAAATATCAAAATCAACGCAAGCCCCTTTGAGTGGACATTCCTAAATCAGTTTAAGAATGTTTGATGCCAATTTAATGTAGTTTGGCTTGTTACCAAATAAATTGATATTAGTCACGTTATGGTGCAGCTGACCTGCCCATTGTCAGGCTGGGCCCATGCCTCACTTTCCCCACTGGCTGGATGGTTCTGGCTGAGCCAAAAAAATCCCCTTTCCAGGGTAGACAGAGTCCAAAAAGGCAAACCATACCAAATTCCTTGGGTACTGCCCCCTCAGAGTCTTGGAGCACCTTCATTTTCTCAGGGATTCTCCCCTCTTAATGCAAGGGTCTCAAATGGGGCTTCTAAGGCTTCTTTGATAGGCCTCTTCCTTTAGCACTTTCCCCTTGCAAAGATCAGCACACCTGCCCATCCTTCATCTCCTCTTTGGCAGAGAGAAACTCAGCAGGTCCTACCATATCCCTGATCCTCCCCCAGACTGAGGCAAGCAAGTCTTTTTATATCCAACATGCTTTAGCATCTAAGGGTTACTGGGCTACAAGTTCCAGAATTTCTCAGTTATTGGGAGAAACCCTGTCTCAGGAGTAAGCTGAACTCTGTGAAAGGTATAAGCTCTGATATACCACTAGTAAACCAATTTGTGTGCCCACACAAAGGGGGTTGCTCTAATTTTACTGAATCAGTTTCTGACCCAATTTAGTTTAATTCATGTGATTTCTGAGAGTGGCTAAGGCAGCAGATCTCAACCTGTGGCCCATGGGCTGCATGTGGCCCAATTAGCACACAGCTGCAGCCCAGCTGTGTGCTAAAAAAAATTCAAGATTTGCTGTTCTGGTCTGATAGGGGGCAGGCCTGGCTGAGGGGGAAACAGTGTCTGGCAGCCTGCAGGAGGGCTCCTGCCAGGAGGGGGCTGGTGAGTGGAGCAGGAGAGTGGGTCTCTGGGCAGGTTTGGGGCAGGAGGGGCCTCTCAGCTGTGAGGGAGTGGGCGGCGCTGGGAACCCTGGGTTTGCAAGGTGCCAGGTTTTAGCTGCCTGGGGCTCCACTCCTGGCCCGGCACAGGGGTCCTGGCTACCTGGCCACTCAGGGTGGGGGTCCAGAGGCCAGCTGCCTGGCCCCATACAGTGGGGTCCCGGGGTCCAGCTGCCCAGCCTTGCACCGCGGGGTCTGGATCCCCCGCCCAGGGCACCCCTCCTGGCCCCCTCTGTGGAGGGGGTTCTGAGCAGGGGGGCACGCTGGGCATAGGGGACTGTAGAGGGTTTGGGGGCGGGTGCTGTGGTTCTCAAGCTGTGTCCCACATAACACAATAATAAACAGGTTGAGAACCACTGGGCTAAGGCCTTAGTGATGCAGTAAAAATAATGCATGGAGCTCAGCCATTGCTTCTCCCTACACCTCTAACAGGTAACATGGAATGAGGTTTTTTTTTTCCAAACAGAAATTTTCATGATGAGGTCATAGGGCGGAGCTAACAACTTCTTGGCCTATATCCTTCTGGGTTTCAAATTATGCAGTTCTTATTAGGACACAGTAGATTTAAAACTTATATTGCTTTATGTACATTTGTTCTCAGCTCTTGTTAAGTTACAACATCAGCTTCTGAAAGTAACAGTGATTTAGACAGAGAACTCCTTCTGTTCTTCTGGCAACTTTGGGCCAGATTTTGAAAGGTGTTTAGGGGCCTAAAGATGCAAATAAGCACCTAGTGGGATTTTCAAAATCACCTAGTACCTAACTTCCTACATGATGACATCCCTGTCCATTGCTTTTCTGGAGAAGTGCACACCCTTTCTCAGCCACTCTAGGAGCCTCACCAGTACAGCTTCCCCACAGAGCTTGGGAACTAAGATGGTCCCTCTTCCCTACCTGGAACTGTTCCCAGAGTCAGAGAGGAGAGCTAAGCAGTCACCATCCTTTCAGACTCCAGCACCAAACCTGGCAGGAGAGTGTCTGCATTGAGCCAGAGTGATGCAGTGAAGGGATGACTGGGTGCAAGCAGGCTGTGTCTCCGCCAGTGCCCCTGGGATACAGGTATACGAAGGCTTCATGGCATGGGCAGACAGGAGCAATGAGAGACTCCCTCTGGCCCCCGCATAGCCAAACATAATAAGAGGCAAAGCGGGAGGGTGGAGGCTTCACACAGACCTCCCTCACTGGGCTGGAAGGAGCTCTGCATAGACCTGGGGAGAGATGTGGGCATGTGGAGCCATCTTTGAATTTAGCAGCAAAGAGCATTCCACCCCCACTGCCTGTACAGAAGGCTGGGAGAGCACCAGAAGCCCAAGAGAAAATCTTAGGGCATTAGAGATTATTGCTCTCATGTTCACTGAGCATAGACACTCCCCTATGCAGTACAAAGGAAAGCACCATGTGACAGCAGGCAATTGATGTGCCCAGTCCCGGGATTTTACATGCACAGCAGGGGCTGAGTTGTATATTCATGCCCCTTTGGTGCCTGTGTTAGCTCCCCTACTGTTTGTGAGTGTTGCGCACAGTGATGGGAGAAAAACTTCAAAAAACAAAATTCAAGCCCCCTCCTCAGGGCTTTAAACTGTGTGCGAGTGGTAGGGAGGACACTGCTCTTCACCAAACTGCTTTAGTTACATTTGTGAAACTGACCACAGTGCAAGCTGACTGTGCCCCTAGCAGTCACTAAGCCAGTCCCTCAGGGTAGAATGTTGGCTGGTTCAAGTAGGTAGATTGCTAAGAGCTTGAAGATAACTTACCACAGAAGGTTTGCACTTTATCTGCTGCCTTTTTCTCTGAACACTAATCTGTCTGCTCTTTGCAATTAGGTGGATTGGGTCCAGTGTGATGGCAGCTGCAATCAGTGGTTCCATCAGGTATGTGTGGGCATTTCTCCTGAGATGGCAGAGAAGGAAGACTACATCTGCATCAGCTGTACTGGGAAGGACTCTCAATATTGAAAGTAAAACTCACCAGAAGTCAGTCAGGACTCCATTAAGGAAGGTTATCAGAATTTCTCCATAAAGTCACAGGGCTAGTTTAAGAGCCAGGCTGCAAATGGTGCTACTTCTATCCTCATGGGATCATTTTTCAGAACTCAAACAATTTTTGACACTTTTGTATTTTTTCTCTTGAGCTATTTGTGGTTGTTGAGATTTGAAATGCTGACTGTTTAGTAGGGGTTTCCTCCAGTTTGGAAGGCATTTGAAACATGCACCTTTTATTGTACAGCATTAAATTACCTCTCTCTGGGATATACCAGCATACATAATTCAACTTCGTTTAGGTGCAGAAAAACTGCACCATGAATCCCAATAGATCCTCTTTTGAGGATATCCCTTGTTTACTCTGTTAACTCTGTTTACTCTTTGGAAACTTTTAGTTTTTTTCACTTTGTATTTTTTTTGTAGACTAGGTTTATTTATCTGAGCAATAACTTCTATGTCTGGTTGCAGTGACTGGAATTACAATTCTGAACAGCGTGTTGGTGCTTTTAGCATTGGTTGATGTACAGAAAGCAAATGTTTAGGTCCTAGTGTCACTGATGGACTAGCGTGGTAGAAGACAGAAAAAGCTCTGTAAAGTAATTGCCACTGCTGTATTTTGGCTTTCTCCTTTTTTGGGTATCTTGTATCAAATGTTGCAGTTTCTATTGTGGAATAAACCCCTGGTTATGTTATAAAATTAAATGGTGATGTTTTTAGAGAGCTTGAAATGCAGTTTCCCTTTCCTTCATGATTGGTCTTTACATTAGTGGGCTCCACTTGCTCGAGAAAAGTCCACTATTTATTTCTTTATTTTAAGGAAAATGAACTAGAAAAACCATGGTATTTTTTTTTTTTACTCTGTCTTCAGTGTTGGAAGAAGAAATCAAGATCAAATTATTCACACTAAATACATTTTTCAAAAAACTTCTATTTCAATTCAAAAGGGTTTTCTACCAGATTGGATTAGTTAAGGGGTCAGGAGAAAGCTGCCAGGGGGATCTCTAGCATGAGAGCTGCTGCTGCTGTAGGGGTATGAGTTACAATTGACTCATCAGAGAACAGGCATGAAGCTGGAGTGGTACAGCTCATCTCCCCCAATCACATCTAGTTGTTGTCAAAAGGAGTGGTTACCCCTAAAGCTGGGTCAGCAAAGCACTTGCTTGTGATCTACAGAGAGCTGGCTGGTCACATGGTGCTGGCACTTCCTTGTTTCCAGATCCTTCTACTCATTTTAAGGCTTTTAATGGCAAAGAGCCTGGATGCCCATAAAAGCAGCTGTCAACAAGGAAGAGTCAGTCAGTCTAGCTATCTTTGATAGGGACTGCTACTATCAGGACTGCCTTCAGAGGCCATAACTGCCAATGGGGGACAGAGCTGCCAGCCATCATTGGAATAAGAATGGCATGGTGAGAAAAGAACAAGATAGCCAAGCAGTGTGTGCACAGGAGTAGGCGGAGAAGAGGTGATTGGAAAAAAAGCAAATGCAATTTTAGGTTGCTTTAACAGAGGCATAGCATGCAAGTCACGGGAGGTGATAGTACTGCTCTACTCGGTGCTGGTTAGGTCTCAGCTGGAGTACGGTGTCCAATTTTGGTCACCAATGTATAGAAAAGATGTAGAAAAACTGGAAACAATCCAGAGGTGAGCAACAAAGGTGATCAAAGGAATGGATGCAAGCCATATGAGCAAAGGGTGAAGGAACTGGGTATGTTTTGTTTGGAAAAGAGGAGATTAAGCGGTCTTTAAATACTTGAAAGGCTGCCATAAAAAAGATGGCGAGAAGTTGTCTTCTCTTGCCAGAGAGGGTAAGACAAGAGGCAATGTGTACAAACTACAGCACAGCAGATTTAGATTAAATATCAGGAAAAACTTCCTAAGTATAAGAACAGTAGAACAGTGGAACAAACTGTCTAGGGAAGTCGTGGAAGCTCCTTCATTGGCGGTTTTCATAAAAAGGCTGGATAGCCATCTGTCTTGAGTGGTTTAGACACAGCCAGTCCTACATCTTGGCAGGGGATTAGACTAGACCCTTTCAGTACCTTCTAACCCTATGGTTTTATGCTTCTATTAATCAAATACTGTCCGGTAAGATAATTTTGGCCTTTCGAGCCAACCTTCCAGTAGTGTCACATTCTGAAAGGGTGTGGAAACCTGGCAATGTGACAGCTTTTAATAGTCCAAGTGATAGGAACACATCTCTAAAGGATATACAGCAATTCTCTTCCCCAGCAACAAGCGCAAAAAAACAGATTCTTGCAAAAATTTTGGATAGCAGCTCATGGAGACCACTAGAACATTTTCCTGTGCAAATATCTGGAATTTAGTAGCACCTCTATATGGGTATGTCTCCATAGCAAATCAAAACCTGCAGCTGGCCCTTACGAGCTGACTTGGGCATGGGCTGTGTAGACTTCTGGGCTTGGACATGAACGCAGGCTCTAGGACCCTGCAGGGTGGGAGGGTCCCAGAGCTCAGGCTCCAGCCCAAGCATAGAAGTATACACAGCCAAGAGACAGCCGTGAAGCCCGAGCCCTGCGAGCCCAAGACAGTGGGCACAGGCTGCAGTTTTTTCTTTGCTGTGGAGACATACCTGGTGTGGCATTGATGGCATGCAAGACAATTTTAGCGTCAGCCTCCTCATGGAAAATATAAACTCCAATGAACAGTGTGGGGCAGCAGCTTCATTACGCTATGAGATGACAAAAATTCTTTGCACGCTGGAGCATTTTTCCTGTAAAGTATTAGGTTAACTCATCCTTTGGATGCATATGAGACAGTAGCTTCTTCATTGTGACATTGGAGATGTTCGTGGAGTCACTGAATTTGTATCGGACACAAGCAATACCATGGAATCTCTTCTTTCTGCTAATTTTTAATTGATTCCTCTGCATTCATGTCAAACATGTGAACTTTGTCATAGGTCTAGTATTTTCTCTGTAGCCCCATAATTAGGGTGACCAGATGTCCCGTTTTTAAAGGGACTGTCCCGTATTTAAGCCCTTCTGCAAGTGTCCTGACTTTTTCTTGAAAAGGGGCAAATTGTCCCATATTTTCTGTCCCCCCACCCCTCCCAATCAGTACTGGTGGGTTCTGTGCTGGCCAGATCCCTGCTTGCTAGCCACCTGCCCACCAGCAGTGAGGGAGGGATCCAGTGGCCAACGATGCAGGTAGGTGTGCAAGGCTGATGGCGGGGCGCATTACATGCTTCCTCTCTCCTCTCCCTGCTTTGCCCCCGCAGCCTCACTGCTCCTCCATACTCTCCACTGCAATCCCCCGGTGGGGCACGTCCTGCTCCTAGCACTGTGCAGAGAATCAGTCCCTGGTCGGAGCGCTCAGCTCACCAACATCCTAGTTGGCAGACTGGGCCGGCACCCCGGGAAAGCCAAAGACCCTCCTGCCCGGGGCACTGGCCAGGAGTAGCAAAACCCTCCATGTGCCAAAGTCCCACCCAGTGCTGGTACAGGGAAGCCTCTCCACCCCTCAGCTAAGCTGTGGAGTGGCCGGGGGAGGGTGGGGGAACACAGCAATTTCCAGCCTGTTCACACCCCAAACCTGCAGGCTCCACAGCAGCCCCCCGGGAAGGGACTTAGCACCCTCTTCACCAACATCCCACCCCCCAGGTCCTGCCCCCAGGGATTGCTCTGTCCCCTAGGCACCCCTCCTGCTGAGTCACCTCTCTGGCTGGGTTCACTGAAGCCCCTGCAGTCAGGTTCCCTGGGCCCTAGTGCACAATGCATCCTTTGGGCTTAACCCCTTCCTGCCCTTGTTGTAGCTGGGGGACAGGAAGCAGCCAAGTTATGTCGGTGGCCAGCAGCAGCCTGGAGGTGTTAGCTGCCTTTCAACACTGTGTGGGCAGGAAGGGACAAGCTGCTTCCAGCCATGGGGGAAGGGGCAGGGGGGGATGAGCTCTGCAAAGATATGGGCCAGGTCATCTCTTCCCCTCCCCTGCAGCTGAAATCAGCTCCCGTCCCTTCCCTCCTGCACAGTGCCAAAAGGCTGCTGGCAGCCACATTCTCGTGTGAACCCTGGCAGAAATCTGAAGAGATGGGGCATGTGACCCTCTATTCTCCCACACACACACACACGTGTTGCCTCCGGAAGACACAGTGCCAGGTACTAGGAGAGGCGGGTCTGTCCTGGGGGCCCAGCCAGGCATGGAGGGAGGAGAGCACTGGGCAGAGAGGGTTGGGTCAGTCGGTCACATAGCCCCTCCCCACCACATGCGAGAGACGTGTGTGTCACCCCTCCCTGTGTGGGGGGGCATAGGGATTAAGAACATAAGAACGTCCATACTGGGTCAGACCAAGGGTCCATCAAGCCCAGTATCCTGTCCTCTGACAGTGGCCAATGGCAGGTGCCCCAAAGGGAATGAACAGAAAGGTTATCATCAAGTGATCCATGCCCTGTCACCCAATCCCATTTTCTGGCATACAGGGGCTAGGGACACCATTCTTGCCCATCCTGGCTAATAGCCATTGATGGACCATGAATCTATCTAGCTCCCTTTTGAACCCCGTTTTAGTCTTGGCCTTCACAACACCCTCTGGCAAGGAGTTCCAGAGGTTGACAATGCGTTGCGTGAAAATGTACTTTCTTGTGTTTTGTTTTAAACCTGCTGCTTATTAATTTCATTGGATAACCGCTGGTTCTTCTGTTACATGAAGGAGTAAATTACATGTCCTTATTCACTTTCACCACACCATTCATGATTTTATAGACCATTATCATCTCCTCCCTTAGTCATCTTTTCCAAGCTGAAGAGTCCCAGTCTTACTGATCTCTCCTCATACAAAAGCCATTCTATACCCCTAATTATTTTTGTTGTCATTTTCTGAACCTTTTCCTATTCCTATATATTCCAATAAGGGTTTGTGTGTCACCCTTCCCCATTTGAACCTTAAAGTTAAGAAGGTAAATATACTGCTAGTTGATTCTTTTTTCTTTTTAAAAGGGGCTCAGTCAACTTGATGTTAATTTGAATGTTTGTACGATTGATTGCTGTTGAACTCACTTGAATAAGAGTAATTTTGCCAGGTGTCCTGCATTCAGTATAGGGAAATATGGTCACCCTACTCATAATGAAATGTTTATCCAAATCTCAGCAGGTGTTACCAATTGCTGGTTTGTTGAGAACTTGTACCTCAGCCATACCATCTATGATTGCTATGCTGAAAGGCCTCTACTGGCGTAAGCTACATTGTCAAGAGGCTGAGGAAGACCATACAAGAAGTGCACTAGTTCATTTTTCACCTGGCACATATGCATTGTTCTGTTTCATTCAAACATTGATTGTGGTCCAATGAGAGCTCATACTTTCCCAAAGCCTCATGTAGATCATCATGCTGAGATCTGGACATGACAAGGAGATGAGCAAACAATGACCTGTCAAGGATGAGCTCTGTACCTGCCTTCTTCACTTAGTATTTGAGCACAGCTGGAGTCTTTTCATCTTCACTGGACCTCACAGATTAATGGAGCCTCAGAGAATTCTTTGGGTTTTGAAGGTTTCATACAAGTAATGACCCAAAGTATCCATTTGACTGACACATTTAGCTATCTCATCATTGAAGACTATTTTCATCATGATATTAACGAGCTCTAGTCCATCACACAAGAATAGGTTGCCAGTGTGAGTAAGCTGATCCTGTAGCTTTAAAATTGTCCCTTGGCATTTAACAGCAGCTAATGTGTAGATGTGCTTGGTTACTTCTGGTGAAGTCATCCCAGC